AGACACACACACACACACACACACACACAGAGACACTCACACACAGACACACACACATTATTATAAACATTTTTTAACTCATATTTTTTGTTGAATTAATTTTAGTAGAATTTTTAGTAATTTTTATGTTTTTGTGTAATTTTTATTTTTATTACTATTTTTAATATTTCTATTTAGGTTCAATATTTATTTCAGTTTTAGTTGCCATTTATTTCCAGTTAGTCATTTTAGTCCTTCAGTTTATTTCGGTTTGTTTTTTGCAAACAGAGATGGTGCACCTTTATAATATTAAAAGAATAATTCACGCAAAAAAATAACAATTATATTATTATAAACATTTTTGGATTAAGTAATATGTTTTTTGTTTAGTTCATTTTAGTTTAATATTATTTTTAATTATTATTATTTATTAATATTATTTTTTAAATTTTTTATTTTAGTGCTTCAATTTATTATATATTTAATACTTTAGTTTAATTTTTAAAAAGTATTTTAAATAAAAGAGATGCTGCACTTTTGAAATATTGAAATAATGAATTACCCCAAAATGAAAATTGTCATCATTACAAACTTTTGTAGATTAATTCATATTTGCTTTCATCTTCAACTCAATCAAAAATGTATTTATTTATTTACTTACTTATATATATTTATATTCTTCAAATCCACTGACTAATAAACACAATGACACGTGAAGCGGTCATCCTCTGAGATCTTCTGTGTGTCTCAGGAGGAGCCGTACGTCATGTTTAAGAAGTCGGATAAACCTCTGTACGGGAACGACCGCTTCGAGGGATTCTGCGTGGATCTGCTGCGGGAGCTTTCGGGAATCCTGGGCTTCCGTTACGAGATCCGGTTAGTGGAGGACGGTAGATACGGAGTGTTTGAGGAGAGTACGGGCCAGTGGAACGGCATGGTGCGCGAGCTCATGGACCACGTGAGTGCTTTATATGCCATTACTGCGTTTACTCAGGTTTTAAATTAGCTTTTATTTTTATATTTCAGTTTTCATTTAGTTTAATTTGTAGCAATTTTGCTATGTGTGTTTTTAATATTATTTTATAATATAGGTTTCATTTATTTTTGTTTTAGTTTGTTATAAATTTATTTTAGCAACATTTCTAATTTTCATTTAGCTTTAATTCTAGTTTAATTATTAGTAATTTTGTTATGTGTTTTTGTTATTTTTTTTAGTTTGTTTTTAGATTTATTTAAAGGATTTTAGATTGTCGTTTTTATTTTTTTCAATTTGTTTGCTTCAATTTATTTCAGTTACTTGCCAAGGCAATATTTCTAAGTTTAATTTGGTTTAAGTGTTTCATCCAATATTTATTTTTTATTTTATTTCAGCTTTCTTTCAACTAACAAAAATTATGTGTTTAAAATGGTTAACGCATGAATTGGCAGTTTTTCAATGATTCAGTGACTCATTCATAAAGAAAAGTCGCTTGCCTCGTTTCCTAAATGAATCAGCCGTTTGAACAAATCGAGTGAGTCAATGATTCAGTGACCCATTCATAAAGACAGTCGCTTGCCTCGTTTCCTAAATGAATCAGCCGTTTGAACGAATCGATTGAGCCAATGATTTAGTGACTCATTCATAAAGACAGTCAACTTGCCTCGTTTCCTAAATGAATCAGCCTTTTGAATGAATCCAGTGAGCCAATGATTCAGTGACTCATTCATAAAGACAGTCGCTTGCCTCGTTTCCTAAATGAATCAGCCGTTTGAACAAACGATTGAGACACTGATTCAGTGACTCATTCATAAAGACAGTCGCTTGCCTCGTTTCCTAAATGAATCAGCCGTTTGAACAAACGATTGAGACACTGATTCAGTGACTCATTCATAAAGACAGTCGCTTGCCTCGTTTCCTAAATGAATCAGCCGTTTGAACAAACGATTGAGACACTGATTCAGTGACTCATTCATAAAGACAGTCGCTTGCCTCGTTTCCTAAATGAATCAGCCGTTTGAACAAACGATTGAGACACTGATTCAGTGACTCATTCATAAAGACAGTCGCTTGCCTCGTTTCCTAAATGAATCAGCCGTTTGAACAAACGATTGAGACACTGATTCAGTGACTCATTCATAAAGACAGTCGCTTGCCTCGTTTCCTAAATGAATCAGCCGTTTGAACAAACGATTGAGACACTGATTCAGTGACTCATTCATAAAGACAGTCGCTTGCCTCGTTTCCTAAATGAATCAGCCGTTTGAACAAACGATTGAGACACTGATTCAGTGACTCATTCATAAAGACAGTCGCTTGCCTCGTTTCCTAAATGAATCAGCCGTTTGAACAAACGATTGAGACACTGATTCAGTGACTCATTCATAAAGACAGTCGCTTGCCTCGTTTCCTAAATGAAAGGGGAACGCTACGTTTCTTACAGTCGAGCTGACTGTTGCTATAGTAATGAACGCAACTTTAATTGCTTAAGCTCTTGACTTCCAGTTTTCATTCTTACATTCAGCATTAACAGCAAGCAAAAAGGGGTAAGCTTTCAACTGAACTGTATAGCCTACATGCATTTTAGACGCTTATATTATGTTAATGCTATGAATGCACGTTATTGAATGAGCGGGTTTTTTTAGAACATTAATTCAACTGCTCAGGTCATTTCAGTGGTAGGCTATGCATATTCACATATTAAACTCCCCGTAACTCGCAAATTCCTCGTGATAGCGCACAAATATTTCTGACCGTTTTCGCTCGTTGTCAGCCTCTGTTGCAACAGACTGAAGCCTCCGCGTGAATTCAGCGTGCCTTGCATTCAGCTAATAAAAGAAAAATGTTGCAATTTTCTGGTGTTATTTTATTATTGTTGGGGCAGTCTCCAGCTATAGGCTACATTAAACTTCTCAAAATACAGCCCGCTTCAGATTGGTTTTAATCACTGCACAAAGCCGTTTGAACAATCGATTGAGACAATGATTCAGTGACTCATTCATAAAGACAGTCGCTTGCCTCGTTTCCTAAATGAAAGGGGAACGCTACGTTTCTTACAGTCGAGCTGACTGTTGCTATAGTAACGAACGCAACTTTAATCGCTTAAGCTCTTGACTTTCAGTTTTCATTCTTACATTCAGCATTAACAGCAAGCCAAAAGGGGTAAGCTTTCAACTGAACTGTATAGCCTACATGCATTTTAGACGCTTATATTATGTTAATGCTATGAATGCACGTTATTGAATGAGCGGGTTTTTTTAGAACATTAATTCAACTGCTCAGGTCATTTCAGTGGTAGGCTATGCATATTCACATATTAAACTTTCTGGAACTTGCAAATTCCTCGTGATAGCGCGCAAATATTTCTGACCATTTTTCGCTCGTTGTCAGCCTCTGCTGCAACAGACTGAAGCCTCCGCGTGAATTCAGCGTGCCTTGCATTCAGCTAATAAAAGAAAAATGTTGCAATTTTCTGGTGTTATTTTATTATTGTTGGGGCAGTCTCCAGCTATAGGCTACATTAAACTTCTCAAAATACAGCCCGCTTCAGATTGGTTTTAATCACTACACAAAAAATGTAATCTTTACCTAATTCTGATTGGGTGGGCTCATGCCTGGAGCCGGCCCCGAGCCCAAATTGATGTGTGAATAATTATAATAATTAGGTTAATTAATCAACGCATCATGTAATTAATTAGATTACTTATTTTTAACGGCATGACAGCCCTTTTGTGAATGCATGTCAATGGTTCAAATAACTTGTTCAGTTTAAAGACTAGAGGAGTGTCACAAATGATTCAGAGTTGACGAACTGATTCATTTGAATCTTTTGGTGTCAAAGCGTCACCTGACGGATCTGTGTGTGCTGATTGGTCTGTTGTGTTGGTGATTGACAGAAAGCAGACCTGGCCGTGGCTCCGCTGACCATCACATACGTGCGAGAGAAGGTGATTGACTTCTCCAAACCCTTCATGACCCTGGGCATCAGCATCCTATACCGCAAACCCAACGGCACCAACCCCGGCGTCTTCTCCTTCCTCAACCCTCTGTCCCCTGATATCTGGATGTATATTCTTCTGGCTTGCTTGGGTGTCAGTTGTGTGCTGTTTGTCATAGCCAGGTAACATGTGACCCTTGTGCGTCTTTAACCAAACGTCCATCTTCATCCTCATTCATCCTCGCTCTCGGGAAACGGTGCCATTTGTGCTTGAAAGTATCTGCAAGTTAATAAAATAATAATAATAAAAAAAATTAACAACCCATAACACTTCCCTGACCTATCCTAACTGTATGATAAAAATAAAAATTGCACTAAATATTTTTATATTTAGTTTGCATGAAAAATAATGTAAAATATAAATATTATTGCACCACACCACATTATTTACCGTCAATATTTTTATATTTAGTAGCAAAGAATAAAAAATATTAAAAATTGCACTAAATATTTTTCTATTTAGTTTGCATGAAAAATAACGTAAAATATGAATATAATTGCACCACACCACATTATTTACATTCATGCATTTAGCAGATGATTTATAATAGAGGAGCGTAAGCAATATTAAATAGTCAATATTAAAGCAAATATTTTTTACATATAGTGGCAAGAAAATTATTTTAAAAATGAAAAATTTTAATATTCATATAATTGCAGCACACCATATTATTTACAGTCAGTATTTTTATATTTAGTAGCAATATATATATATATATATATTTTTTT